CCTGTGATCTTACTCCAGAATCACACGGCCTCCCTCTCTCTTTTGGCCACCCTCAACTGCTTGTGTGAATTATCTGCTTTGTGAAGTAGTGAGGGAATACTTTTTCATTTCAGGCAGCTTCTCTCCAATACCTAGTCTAATCTGTTTTGGGTACGTGTGTCTTCACAACCAGCGGCATATACGTAGTGACCGTATACATTTTAGCATTGGCAATAAATGTATCATGCAGTAGAAAACTGCCTTCAGGATAGTAAGAAAAGTGAAGTAACAGATTCTGATGAGGACAGTTACCTTGATACTAATTTTCCGAGGAGGGTGAAGCAAAGGGACCCCTCTAGGCCCACACCACCACAGTCAGCAGCGCTGTGAAGTGTGAGCTCCCTCACGCTGCCTCCCCCACACACCTGCTGCACATAAAGGATCAGGCCCCTGGTTGCAGCTGCAGTCACACAGGACACAGATTTGCCTGTTTTGTTACTAATTAACCATCCCTAAAGCATTTCTGCACCTGTGTGGGCCTTGCTTCAGTGTAAATAGTTCAGTAAAAGATATTGACATAAAAACAAAATGAAGGGTATTGCTATCTCTTTTTTTCCATTTTTTCAAGCACATTGTGATAGATTTGCTTTAAGGGTTCCCTATATCTTTGGGCCAAGTTAGAGAAAAGCTGTCATGTTTGTCCCTGATGCTAAAATTTCTTCCTCAAGATGTCTTCTTTCCTGTAATTCATCAGTGTCTGGGGTTCTTAGCAGTGGATTTAAATACCAGGACTGTTCACAGGGTTTGGGGTTGGGGCTACAGTAGCTTCTTTGCTCCTTCAGTAAAAGTAAGTAATTACAGAACAGCCTGTGCTGTAACACTGGGAGTCCTGGTTGGTGGTATTTACTTTATCACCTAGGCCTGGAGGAAAGCCCATTGTTAGTATTTCGGCCAATTAGCATCACCTGGCCTCACAAGGCATTTCAAAATGTACATGGAGATGTGGTAAGAAAAATCAGTCTAATGCTGTCAGTGTTCCTCCTTTACCTTCAGCTCCCAGCCCCCACACTTATTAAAATTTTAGAAATTTGGACTATCGGTATGATATATAATAGTAGGAAAATCATAGAATCTTATTAATGGTAGTTTTACAGTTTAAAATACACACAGTAAATTAGAAGCTAATTTACAGACCCTAATGGAGAGGTTTTTAAGAGCACTTAAACTGCAGATCTTAAGAGGATTTTCCAGTTGGTTTGTCTGTTTTTATAAATATCATTTATTCACCCTTGGGAGTTTTTTTTTTTGTCAGGGAAGTTGGGAAAATATTGCTGTTCTGACATTTTATCTGGCATTTAATTATTTACATTTTTGTGCTTCACCAAAATTGAGGGAAAGAAACTAGTGATTTGAATCATGACCTGTGAAGAAATTTAGAACACGTCTGGTATCTGACCTTGGTGGGGGGCGGGGAGCATTCGAACGGGGGTGGACAGAGGGGCCTTCGGTTGTTGGCCTTGGTCAGTGCCCCACCTTCAGACTGTGGGTTTCATAAGTGGAGGGCTGGCCAGCCGTGTGGCTGGGGGCCTGTGAGGACGGTGGGGTGCAGGTTCGTTGCGTTGTCTTAGCAGTGGAGCTGGGAGAGCCTGTCTGAGTGTTGTGCGGGCGGTATGCCTTAGGGACTGGATTCTGCTGCGGATAACCCCTAAAAAGAAGAGTTGGGCAAAGACTGGACGCGGAAGCTAATCACCTGTGTAGTAAGTTGGGTTTTGCTTCAGAATCCAAGGAAAGTTAACACTGGGTTGTATGGTACTGTCTTCTCAGAATGAATATTGTGATGGCCAACTCTAAAGAAACACGGACACGGGCTCTCGGATAAGCCTCCGCTTTCAGGGTTGCTCTTCAGAAATAGTTTCTTTTAAATTAAAAATAAATTTTAGGAAAGACCTGCCAAATTATTACCTCTAACTATTTCATAAACAGAAGTACAATAAGATTGTACCTTCGTATCCTTCCTTCTTAAATGTTTTCTTCTTTCAGTGTCAGCACAGACAGGGTAAATCGTGACGCCTGAATAATTTGGTGATAGACCTGTGAAAGGTTGTTAAGGAAAAGCATTGAATTGGAGTTGAGAAAACAGATTTCGGTTTGGGTTCTTAGAGACACTAGCTGTGTGAGCTTTTGTAAGTTATTTAGTATCTCTCAGCCTGAGACTTCGTGTCTTGGTGAGGTCACTGATAGCAGCTTTGCAGGTTTACTGTGAGGATTCGAGACAACGAGCCTAAAACCAGTGACCCAGTAGCTAGCAGCCCTGAAATCAGGCAGGCTCTTGGTTCTTCGCCCTTGCAGTCAGGGGCCTGGGCCCCGATCCCCTGTGGCTCTGGTCCTAGGTGTGGACCCCAGCCCCTTCACCGGTACCCTTACAGAAGCTTGATTTCTGTTTCCAAGTATTATTAACCAGTGGTGACTTGTAATTTTATAAAATTACTCAGTTGCATTTGTTGGGGTTTAGAGTTGCAGTGATAGATGATCATTAGAAAATCCATATAGGATAATTTGGAGGTCTGTACAGTGTTTTATTTTTCCCAGTTGATTTGGAATTGGTCAAACTACAAATACAGTTCAAAACAGATTGTTTCTCTAAATGCTTTTTATAAAAGAGGGATAATAGGATATGTATGATTGCTTGTTGATGCTGGGTGTTGGTATGCACTCTTCAGAATCCGCGGCAAGGGAGCCTGGCGGGGGCAGGAGGAATTGAGCCAGGGCGCAGCTGCCCCCACGGAGCGGGAGCCTCAGGACCTGCTTATGTTCTCACCAGGAAGCTCAAGTTGACGTTCTTATTTAAATGTCTATTCATCTGCGTACTCAGTGTTAGAACCACCTTGCACTCACCTGGTTCTTAACCCCGCAGAATGAGTTTCAAGAGCATGCTTTATGTCTATTTTATTGAGAAAGTGTTTTCCTTTTTAAAGAAATGTAATTTCTGAACCATTAGTAGAGATGTCATTATTCTTTTAAAAACCATAAGAGTGAAAGGGAAGCAGGATACGTAGTCTGTTGGGCAGAGTTGTCTCATCAGATACTCAGCGCGTGTTCTTTTCTCAGCTGTGTCTTTATGGCTGGGGCAGAAGTACTGACCCATGACCCGTCGTTGCTGGTGCTCATCGCCCAGCCCAAACTGTGGGCCCTCCTTGCACGGGAACAGATGCATGGGAAACACTGTGCGTGTTTTGGGTTATTATGGTAAATGCTGCTGACGTTGTGTTTCAAAAACATTTGGTAGAACACATGTATTTGTATCCTCTACATAAATACACTTGGTGATTGCCAGTTTTGTTTTGTTTTTAACTAGGGTAACATTTAGAATTGTTCATATTTGATGTATAGCATCAGCCAATGTCTTTTGTCCTGCAAATATCTGCTCATCAGGCCTGCGGGCGCTGTTTCAGATGTGGAGAATACTGCCCACTCCTCTCTTTTACAGTCTGTGAGGCATTTTACAGGTTAGAATGAGCCAGCACCGGGCGGTGTCCACCGTGGACTCTGTACCTGACAGAACCAGTAAGGACACCCTGCCTGGGTCGCCTGACAGGCTCCTGAAGTGTAGTATCACATAATCACCCTCACGTCATCCCTGCCAGGGAGGGGTGGTTTGGATGGTACGATGGCTGCAATGAAGGGAGAGGACTGAAGTGGCCGCAGATGGGTTCAATGGTTTGCTCAGGGTCACAGGGTCGGTCAGTGACAGAGATGAAACTGGACGTGGGTCATCCCTGTCAGCTGGGCCTATCTACCAAGCCAGGGGAGTTCTTGCAAGATGGGTGTAATTAGTGTTTGGGGATATTTTTGCCCTATTTCTCCTGTTGAAAAACTAAACCTTTAAATTCAGAATATTTTCAGATTTATAGAAAAGTTACAGAACTAGTATAGAGAGCTCTTATATGCCCAACATCATTTTCCCTATTGGTAACATATTGTATAGATTTGGTACATTTGTCACCACTGATGAACCAATATCAATACCTTATTATTAATTAAAGTGCATGCTTTATTCAGATTGCGTTGGTTTGTACCCAGTGCCCTTTTTCTGCTCCAGCATCCCACCTAGGGCACCACGCTGCATTTAGTCATCCCACTTCCTTAGGTTCCTGATGGCTCTGGACAGGCATGTGTTAAATGTCCCTTAATTGGGATTTGTCTGATGTTCTTCTCGTGATTAGACTGGGGTGATGGATTTTGCAAGGAAGACCTCAGAGGAAAGTGTGTTTTCATCAGGCCGCACCAAGCGTAGATGTTACCAACATGATATCCCTGTTGGTGTTGCCCGTGACCGTGCGGCTGAGATAACCTCTGTCAGGTTTTTCCACTACGGTTCCTCTGTGTCCTCCTTCCCGTGCTGTGCGCTATGGGAGGAAGTTGCTGTGCTCAGACCACATCTCCTTGCATGGGGAGTGTCTTGCCTACTTCTGTCAACTCAGCAAATCCTACTCTACCGTTTTTTTCTTTCACCTGTCAGGTATGACATTGTAGCCGGAAGAGATGGAGTCGTAGGTAAGAATTCACACCAGTTTGGAGTTCATTAGAGATGGTTAAGAAATGTAGGTGCTGCCTCTACACTGGTGGAGGAGGGGACCATGAGAGAATAAAATAGCCCCCCCAGGTGATTAATGACCCTTAGAAAGCCAGGGAAGGCTGTTGCAAAGTGCAGGGAGAGAGTGGTGTGGTAATCAAGTACAAGTGAGAACTTCAGTATAAGAAATACAATTACGGAAAGGACAACAAAACATAGGAATTTGTGAAAAACAGTGTCAGTGAACTTATACATTCCCAGCATCTCCTGGATATGAAACCTTCTCCCACCTCCTAAAGATGAAACTTGCTGTTTTTGATGTCATTTAGTTCCAGGCCAAGGAGGGTCATGCCAGTGTTTAAAAATGAGTCTGATTAACTATTCCTTCTTGGTGCTCAGCTTTTGGACCATTCTGGCTCATATTCCGCATTTTCCCTTCTCTCCACAGAACTCTATCCGGCACAACCTGTCCCTGCACAGCCGGTTCATGCGGGTCCAGAATGAGGGAACCGGCAAGAGCTCTTGGTGGATCATCAACCCCGACGGAGGGAAGAGTGGGAAGGCGCCCCGGCGGCGGGCTGTCTCCATGGACAACAGCAACAAGTATACCAAGAGTCGTAGCCGCGCAGCCAAGAAGAAAGCAGCCCTGCAGACAGCCCCCGAGTCAGTGGATGACAGCCCCTCCCAGCTCTCCAAATGGCCAGGGAGCCCCACGTCCCGCAGCAGTGATGAGCTGGATGCATGGACGGACTTTCGCTCGCGCACCAATTCCAATGCCAGCACAGTCAGTAGCCGCCTGTCGCCCATCCTGGCAAGCACAGAGCTAGATGACGTCCAGGATGATGATGCGCCACTCTCCCCCATGCTCTATAGCAGTTCAGCCAGCCTCTCACCCTCCGGAAGTAAGCCGTGCACCGTGGAGCTGCCACGGCTGACCGACATGGCCGGCACCATGAATCTGAACGACGGGCTGGCTGACAACCTCATGGATGACCTGCTGGATAACATCACACTCCCATCGTCTCAGCCATCCCCCACCGGTGGGCTCATGCAGCGGAGCTCTAGCTTCCCATACACCACCAAGGGCTCTGGCCTGGGCTCCCCGACCAGCTCCTATAACAGCAGCGTGTTTGGCCCCTCGTCTCTGAATTCCCTGCGCCAGTCTCCCATGCAGACCATCCAAGAGAACAAGCCAGCTACCTTCTCTTCCATGTCACACTATTTTACCCAGACACTCCAGGACCTGCTCTCTTCAGACTCACTCAGCCACAGCGATGTCATGATGACCCAGTCGGACCCCTTGATGTCTCAGGCCAGCACCGCTGTGTCTGCCCAGAACTCCCGCCGGAACGTGATGCTTCGCAATGACCCGATGATGTCCTTTGCCGCCCAGCCTACCCAGGGGAGTTTGGTCAATCAGAACTTGCTCCACCACCAGCACCAAACCCAGGGTGCTCTCAGTGGCAGCCGTGCCTTGTCGAATTCTGTCAGCAACATGGGCTTGAGCGATTCCAGCAGCCTTGGGTCAGCCAAACACCAGCAGCAGTCTCCCGCCAGCCAGTCTATGCAAACCCTCTCGGACTCTCTCTCAGGCTCCTCCTTGTACTCAACTAGTGCAAACCTTTCCGTCATGGGCCATGAGAAGTTCCCCAGCGACTTGGACCTGGACATGTTCAATGGGAGCTTGGAATGTGACATGGACTCCATTATTCGTAGTGAACTCATGGATGCCGATGGGTTGGATTTTAACTTTGATTCCCTCATCTCCACACAGAACGTTGTTGGTTTGAACGTGGGGAGCTTCACTGGTGCTAAGCAGGCCTCATCTCAGAGCTGGGTGCCAGGCTGAAGGATCACTGAGGAAAGGGGAAGTGGGCAAAGCAGGTCAGTGCCCAATGCTACGGCATAATCATAACAAAGTGGGGGTGATTGGGGGAGGCTGTCTGTTATTTACCGGTAGTTTGAACTTGACTCCACATGGAGAAACTGCAAACCGTGAAGCGGTGGTGCATGGTAACATGGCTGCCAACCAGTTCATCTCCAAGTTTTACCTGCAGAATAAACAGGGCCGTCGGGTGCCCCTCCCCAGAATTTGCTGACAGCTCAGGAATTTTATTGCCAGTAAAAAGTAACACACACATTCATAGATGTCATTCTTCTTTGTGTTCAGTTGCCCTTGCTAACCTATGACACAGGTCCCCTTACTTGACGGATGGATGAGGATAGAAGGGAATGGTGGAAGGGGAGGAAGGTGGGACTTAGCTCACACAAACATCAAGGTTGAGGACCGAGGCAGAGGACTTGCTTAGACTCTCAAGTCCAACACTGCCACTGTCGATCTTCAGTATTATCATTTTATCTTTCTTTCCGTTAAAGTAATGATTTGCAGGTGCTCCTAATTTAACTGCAGAATATGTATTCTGGACTCCTTCATGCATGATCATTTCCACTAGAAGCAAGATCTGTTAGATTCTTCACCACAGTACTAAACATCTTTATTAGTGTTCAGCCTCTAAACATTTAAAAGAGCAAAAGGATTAAATTGGAAACAGACTTTTTTATGTGAGAGCACTTACTCATGTGCTTCATGTTCCCCAATGTATGAATGATGTCAGATTCTAAACAGAGTGACATGGGCTGCGAACAGTGACAGAGACTTTATAATTGTGGCATTTTAATCGTGTTGGAATCAGAAAGATCACGCAACATGATGTGATAAGAAAAGCATTTGATTTGAATCAGAAGTTGAGTGTTCTGTCCCCTTCTCCTCCTCTCCGCCTGCTATTGAGAGTGTGTCACTTAACCCCCGGGCGTCCATTTCCAGTTTTATAAAATGAGGCTGCTAGCCCCTGTTAACTTTACAGGGTTATTGCAAGAGTCAAATGCACTGAGGTATGTGAAAGTGCTTTGTAAAACTGCAGTGGGCTGAAATGTTTACTGTATAAACTAGGTGAACATACTGACTAACAGATGAGTAAGCAGGAAGCTCAGAGAGGTTAAATAGTTTGTCCAGGGTCACACAGCTGGACCCAGAATCCATATTTCTTGAATGACTTGAACCATAATAGTTCTTTATAATTTTATCTGGATAGTAAAAACTGGGAAGTGCTTTGAACTGGAGCCAGAGTAGCAGAAAATAGACAAGCTTCTCCCAGAACTCACCTCCTCAAGAAGTAAGATGAGCCCTGAGGTCTTCTGCTAGCGGGTTTGCACCCATGGACCCTTCCATGGTGAAGGGCTCTGCTCTGCTTCAGCTGCCTTTTTTTTTAAGCTTCTTATACCCTTCTTTACATGGTGTAAGAGAAAAATGGGATCCAAAGCATAAAAACCTGAACCTTGTTTAACCCTCTGCCCTGGTGGAGGAATTACAAGGGTCTCCTATGGTGAACTCCCTCCAGCTCATCGGGAGTTGTGGAGAGGGGAATGTCAAGTATAGTGAAGCTAAAGCTTCTCAGCTCTCCCAGGCATACGCGGGGCCCTAATGGGACTCAGACATCTGTTTTCAGTCATTTAATAGCCACTGAGATAGTGAAGAGACGGTAATGGAAGCTAAAGAGGGTGACACACTTTTGTGCCAGCCGGTTCAGATCATACCAGAACTTGGCTTTTAGAAGAATAAACAGTTTGTCTTCCTTTAAGAAGAGGAACGCAATTGCGGCTTGAAAAGACCCAAGTAAGTTTTAATTCTCATGTAGTTGTAAAGAGGCCACTTTCTACTTCATTAGAGTAAATTCAGAGGAAAATGTACTATCAGTTTTTGTCTGATTTTTTTTTTTAGTGTAGATTTTCCTTTGAGTTAAAATAGCAGACCTTTCTTATGTATGCATAATTCTAAAAGATTATATAAAAGTATTTTAAGGGAGATATAAGTACTTAAGTTTTTAAAACATTAATGAGTTATTTTTGATAATAAAAAGCACATTTATTATGTCCTAATGGAACTTGAGGGTCATTCAGTCACCTTCTTCCAAGAACATTTTGGGGGAGATAACTTTGAAAAGATATTTCTTCAGTTAAAAATGGAAAGTCACCGAATTTTCCTGAAAATAAACTAGCTCAGTGTGACCAGAGCAAGAGAAGAAACATGGTAAGGACTAGGTGGTGGGGGAAGGCATTGCTCTGTGAAAGTCCTTTTCTGGGTTTAGGATTTATTTCCATTTTTTGCTTTGAAATGAATTGTTCCTCTTAACAACCAGGAGCACATGTGGCCTAAGTATTTTCTCTACTTTTAAACCTGTGTCCCTCACTTTACTGAAGATTCTCTTCTAAATTCACAAAACAGGCATGAGGTCACAATGTCAGACCTCACTTCACCCAAATTAAGCACCCAAGCATCCCAAGAGTTGTCCTGTGGTGCCTTCTTTAAACCAGAAGTCATGGTATTCTCCAGATTCACTTCCTGACTTGCTCACTGAAGGCCGTGTGACCCTGAGGTGGAGCCATCTAGTTACAGAGTTGATAAGAGTGGTTGATAGGCAGCCTTGCTGGAGAACAGTGGTGAGATGCTTCTCTGTAGGGCTGGTCGTTTCACATGTCATTCATTTTAGACCGCATGTAAAAGCTTTCAACCTGTGGATCTATCTGGGAAAGAAAAAAAAAATACATAATACCTTTGTGTGAGTGCCAGCTACTGGGGTGTAAAGGGCATTGTCATCTCTCGGGCACTCATAAAGCTTGGTGAAGAAATACACAGACTGGCAGCAGAGATGTCTGTGAGCAGTGTAGTGGTTGCAGAGCCGAGCTTCTGTCTAATAAGCCCTCCGGAGTTGGGCATGTGTGCTCTCAGAAAGCAGCGTCAATCCAGCTGTAGTTTTTATGTCAAAAGATTCCTGATTTCACAAGCTCTTTCATTCATCTTCATCCTTTGGCATATGAAGACCCCCATTAGGCTCCCTATGATCAATACTGGACTGCTCAGTCCAGTATTTAGTGTTGTTTTAAACTACTTTATGGTAAGGATTGGAAAAACATCAACTAGGAAAAGCCTGGCTGTAGAGGAAAAGGGTAGTTTTCTTTCTGTCTCTGCCACTGGTCACATCATTAATGAATCTCGTAGAATTATAGGTTTCTTGTTTGTCAAAAGAGGACAAAATCATAGAGTTTCAAGGAACAGTGTATGTATAATTTTAAACCTGAAGCCAGACATCCTGTCTGTGAAAGGGCCCTGGGAAGAGGTAGTGATGGTATGGGAATGCAAAGAAACGGTGGCAAATCAGTGTGGAAACAGCAGGTGCCAGTGCTGAAGCCCATTTAGAATTTATATTTAGGCTATTTTTCAAAAAGAGCAAATCTTGGATACTTGTTAGACTTAACGTTTGAATGCTGTGAGTCTTTAAATATTCATGTTGGAAGACAGGACTAATTCTAACCAAATACAGGCCATGTAGGCCATTCATGTCACGTTTTCTTCTTGCTGTAGATATTTCTGTGTCAGGGCTATAGCACACGGTAGATACAAATCTGTGCATGCTGCATGGATAAATATACTCTGCCTTTTGCATTGTAACTATAGTCTAGTCTTTAGTTACAATAAGCCAGCCTCAAGAATTCTGCATCTGCAGAGCTCTCTATTCTTAAGCCCCAAATCTGAAGTGTCATTCATGGAGAGAATGGCTGTCTGGATCTTTTGACAGTGGATCTTATTGACAACAGTAAAGGAAAATTGAGGCAGCTGTGAAAAGGGGTTTTGTGTGCAGAGGCTGGTACATGATCCTGGAAAGCAGGGGCATCTAGCACTAAAGGCTACTCCTCCTGGGCATGAGAGTTTTTAATGCACCTGTGGTCACCTCTGGCCAGCCTGCTAATCAAGGGGACAGAGCCTGCGTGACTCTCACTTTAAGCAGTTGCCTTTATAAGTTGCATTCTGGAAAGGAAGGTCTTTTTTGGTTAAAGAGCTTATGTGAGGCATCAATAAATGGGGTGAAATTCACCAGAATTACTACTGGAAATTCTTGTGAACTTTAAGCTCCTATTAAATGCTTCTTTTTAGAGTGTTCATAATGCTCAATATTGAACATCTTATAAATAATGTTTCAGAGCCAAGCCCCAGAGACAGTGAGCTGAAGTGGGTGGCTGGCTTGTGTCCAGCTGTGATGAACCAGCTCTAGAAATGAAGCAGAAGCTAAAGCAAGTGTCCTGAGGACCTTTTACAGAAATCAGCATCTGGATTGAGTCTGAACTCTGGCCTATTAGCACGGAACTCCTGAAGTACTAGGGCCTATGTTTTTATCCCCCGAAGAGAGACATGTGACCATGGACTAGGACATTTGAAAGCAAGGTTGTGCCTGAAAACCAAGCGTAGTAAGGTTGCCGCACATGCTTGGGTCCTTTGCTTCAACCTCCCATGCAAGGCAGTTTTTCCTCTATGACAGGTGGTCCCCACCACCACTGCACCACCTTCCCTACCAGGCGTTTCTTGAGGGGAGTGACTCCTGTTTTTCCAAAAAAGTGTTTTATCTTTATCCAAGGATGGTATTATTATTATTATTATTATTATTATTATTATTATTATTATTATTATTATTATTGCTCTTAGAGAGAGAGAGGAATTGGAGAGAAACATTGATTGGTTGCCTTCTGGTATGCTCCCTGACCAGGGATCAAACCTGCAACCTGGGTATGTGCCCTGAACAGGAATTGAACCCATGGTTCTTCGGTCTGTGGGACAATATTCCAACCGAGCTACACCGGCCGGGGCAGGAACCCCTACTTTATTGACCTCTATCCCCTGTGCCCAGCACATTACAGGGCACCCACTTCAGCTCAAAAGTGAATTTTGTTGGATGAGCTCAGGCTTCTCTTGAGCACTTGCACCAACATCGGGCCCACCATCTTGCCAGGCAGCCTATCCAGCAGTAGAATTCACTCCGTGGCTGAGAAAGAGC